ATCGAATTGAGGTTCCTTTTGGCTGCCTCTAGCTGCATCCCAGGGGACCCGTGGCCTCGTAGCGGCGGCGGGGTCGGGGTCGAGAGGGGTGGCCGCCTGTCAGTGGCGACTCATCTGCCCAAGATATGCCCACCGCCGCGGCCGTGGATCTCGGAACGCGCCCCTCCCCAAACGCATCAGGTGGACATTCAAACCAATATTCGAATCGAGAGTGGCATCGGTAATGAGGTCGATTGGGTGAGATCGATAGTGAGATCTATTTGGCGCCGATATCTATATCAATTGGATAGGAAAGGCATCGATAGTGCGATCGGCCAACCGTCAACCCAGCGACTTCCGCAGCCGTTTGGGGATCGAGGTGGCGGCGCGCTCGCGACTTCGTCGCCCAATATGCTGCCGAGACCGCCTCGGCACCCTCCTCCCGCGGCGCTCCGCATCGCGGCGGCGCCCAGCATGCTGCCGAGACCGCCTCGGCACCCTCCTCCGCCCCCGCCGCCGATCCGCATCGCGGCGGCGGGGGCGGAGCCGCGGTCGCCGTGGTCGCCGATCCGCATCGCAGCTGGCGAGGGGGTGGCTGGCGGAGCCGTGGTCGCCGAGCGCGACTCCAGGTCATGGCCGTCCGGCGAGGGGGCGGCTGGCGGAGCCGTGGTCGCCGAGCGCGACTCCAGATCGAGGCTGTCCGCATGCGAGGAGGCGCCAAGGCCTGGCGCCGCCTCGCCATCGCCGAGATCTCGGAGCCCCGTGGGGCTGGCTGGCAGAGCCGAGACTGGCGAGGATGCGGATGGCAGAGCCGAGGAGTTGGCTGATGAGGTGATGCTGAATGCAGTTGCCGAGGAAGCTGCCACCAGGCTTCTGCACGCCATGAGGCTGCTGCACGCCGAGACGGTGGTCGACGAGGCCATGGCAGAGGGGGAGCTGCGCTGGAAGGAGATAGCGGAGCTGTGCAGGCCCTACCAGGAGGCGGCGGAGCGCTAGGAAATGGCAGAGGCGGAGCGGGACTGCCACGCCGCCGAGTTGAAGGCGGCGCGGACGGCGGCTGCGGGGGCGTGCCGTGCGGCTCGAGCTGAGCGCGGCCCAATTGCTCAGGTTAGTATCGCTCGAATGGTCCGTGCTGTCCGTGCTGTAGAGCGCTGTCGGGTGTTTGGCCCCGCGTGAGTTGGGATTGAGTCCTCGAGCCTCACATCGACCTCACTATCGATAACATCATCGATCTCACTGAATGGCGGATCTCCGTATCGATCCAACTATCGCTCTCACTGTAGACCGTCTAGACCACGCTAAGAGGTCACTACCGATCTCACTATGACTATCAATCACGTGGTCGACCTCACACACCCCAAATCTCCGACGCATCCAGAAATATTTCGGGGGAGGGGCCCAGGGAACGACGCAACGATGATAAAACGCGAATGACGGATGAGAGAGGCGGATGGGGGATATGGGATATGATGTATATGTTGTTCTCTGTGCGCAGTTACACATGCCCTCCTGGAGGCGCCGTGAACCTTCTTGGAGCCTTCTGGAGGCTTTCGTCTTGGGGCTCCTGAGCTGTCTTGGAGCCCCCCTGGAAGCCTCTTGGGCCGTCTGGGAGGCATCGACACCCTGTCCCTTATCTTCCCTCCATCCACGCAGCCACCGCGGCCCCGCCACTGCGGCCCCGCCATCGGCCATCGGCACACTATGGCCCCGAAGACCCGCGGAGCTGCCAGCGCAGTGCCAGATGGCGATCTCGGCCGAGATCGCGACCCAGAGGTCAAACAGTTGAAGGAGGCGCTCAGGAAGAAGGACCGCGTCCTGAGGCGCGTCGCGGGAACCTTGCACAGGGTTGCCGCGCGGCTGGTCGCGAGCACAGAGAAGGAGCGCAACCAGCAGGACAAGCGCTCCCAGCCTGTCTCCCAGCTGAGCTTGGCCAGTGTGATGCGTGACAAAGAGGACATGTGGTCCAGAGATGCGGCGATCGCCGCTGCGTGCCCGCCAGCGATGGCCATGGAGGCGCACCGCATCGACAGGGCGCAGTGCAGCGCTCCCACCCCATTAACGTACAACCTGAAGGGCAGGCGCACCAAGAAGAGCAAGAAGCAGGTCAAGCAGACGGCGGACACTAAGATCCGCCAGAGCGTACACGCCAAGAAGATCACGGCCAGCATCGGCTCCGAGGATATCGACCTGGAGCCGTCGCCGAGCTTCGCGTCCGACGATTCCTCGGACGATTCCGAGCTCAGTGCCCGCGCGCGCGCGCTCAGCCACTGAGCGTTCGCCCCGCGTCTCTTCCTGCTGCTTCTCCTTCCTCGCGCTCCCGGGGTTGCCCCGAGTTGCGCTGCCTCCCCTCACCGAATCCTTGCCGCATTAATTTACGTTTCTTTGACCATTTGTCCATCTGTCCTTGGGCGCCCCGACTGATGTGATCCTTCTTAGCCCTCCCCCCCCTCCTCCACTCGGCATTTCTCCAGTGGCCGTCGGCCCATCCCGCCACCGTGCGTGGGTGGTGTGTCCGAGGCCTCATGGATGCTGGTTGGAATCTCGTGGATGGCTGGTAAGTCTGAGAGCCTCTTGGGCGCCTTTTGGAGCTTCATGGGGCCTCTTGAAGCCAGTGCGATCCTACCTAGGAGTTGAAGCCCCTAGAAACGCAGCGTTAGTAGTAACAGTAAAGCTAAACTAAGCTAACGCTAAGCTGAGGCTAAACTTACCCTAAACGAAAAATAAGCTAAGCTAAATCTACCCTAAGCTAACGCTAACCTAAAGCTAAATTAAAGCTAAATTAAAGTTCAAATCACCAGCTACACCTAAAGCTAAAGCTAAAGCTAATGCTGAAACTAAAGGGAGGAGGGAGACCAAGGAATCGATCATCTGTCGTCGTCATCGATCTCGCCATCGCCGTCGCTATCGGTCTCGCCATCGCTCGTCATCGTCGTCGTCATCGTCTCATTTTTTCTGTTGCCATCGCGGCGCTCTCCTCGGGCCCAGCGGGGGCCGCTGGCGGCCTGGGGCCCACCATCGCAAGAGAGAGGGAAGGGGGGAATGAAGGAGGAGTCCCCCAGAGCAGAGTCGCCAGGGGCGGCCCCCGCGCGCAGGCCCCGAGTGCCCCCTTGCTTGTGCCGGCCGCCGCGCTCTCTGATTTTCACTGGTCTTTTCGGTTTCTGAGGATATTTGATATTCACGTCCTTACAACGAAATCGGCATAACTTCCACCTCCTCTCTTGAGCTCGAACTCAAGAATGTCATATCAGTAGCACGCGTGGTTCAAGTGAATCTATTTCTTGCCACAGAAGATGCCGGCAAAACAATCACCCCCCGAAGTGATCGCGGCCGCCCGCAATGGTACATGGACAGATGCCAAGCGGTGGGCGATTGGCCAAGCCTTCGAAGCCTTGCATGTGGCAACGAAAGGAGCCACGGATGCCGAGATGGCTGTCATTCTGAACATATTTGCAAGCCCCCATGATGGGCTACGCGACCCCGCGTCCTTCACCCCCGACATCGCCATGCTCAGTTACAAGGACAACGTGAAGGCGAAGCTGCGTGCATCTCCAACATACAGCAGAATGAGCTCACTCTTACGCGATGCCGTTTTGATCACTCTAGTCGAATCAGCAGGCACTCATGGAGACGCTTGCCGCGAGGAGATCGACAA